CCCTAGGCACAGCTGACAGTCCCAGAGGACCAACCTGCCCATCTCCCAGATATACAGAATTCAGAATAGAAGATTTTAGTTCAGATTGGGCTGGTTTCTTGAGGAAGATGTAAAAACTGAGAAGCTGTGAGGGTAACCATCTTCTATCCGATTATCAGGAAAACTGGACCAAAGAGAGAGAACAAAGCAGATATTCTGAGTGCTGTCAAAGTTTATGACAGCTTCACAGGCCCTATTTCCTGGCTCTTTCTGATAAATGCTATAGCATCCATGTTCCTGGGGTCTGTGAGTGTGGTCTCCCTGCTTTCCAGTAGCAAACATCCCTTTTGCTTAAATGACATCAAGTTGATTTTGTACTATTTGTAGCCAACAAGTCCTAATTAACACTGGAAGTACCATGACCTGATCTCTCTGTGTGTAGGCACATGTGTACGTACGTGCGTGCGCACATGTGCACTTGACAGTGAGTTCCGGCAGCAGCATGGACAATGGACTGCCCTGCCTTCACTGTCTTCTACCTGGTTCATTCTGATAATCTCATTTTCCTCCTTCTGCTTTCCCTGTCACGACTCCACTTCATTCTTCACATTGCTGCCAGAGTGATCTAAAATGCACATTTGCCCATGTTTCCCTCCTGCTAAAAACCCTTCTCTATCACCTAAAGATCAGAAGCCAAGCTCTTTAGTGCTACATACAATCCCATTCATTCCTTCAACATATACTTAATGAGAACATATACTTAATGTAGAGTTTCAGGCACTAGAAATAAAGCAGGGAATAAGATGTGAATTTCAACTCTCATGGAACTTACATTTTAGTAGTACAGAGACATCAAACAAGTATTATTTCAGGACGTGTTAAGTGCTATGAAGAAAAACAGAGCAGGGGAAGGAGGTAGAGATTAATGAGGGTGGGGGAGGGCTCTCCTAAACAGGATGGGCAGGCAAGGCTGTGGAGGGTACATCTGAGCAGTTATTTGAATATGGTGGGGGCTTAGAGGACTCACAGTGCAGTGAGCGGTAGCAGAGCCATCAAGATGGGTAGGGGCTGGATCAGATCAGGACATGGGGTACACTGTAGCCACAGTAAGATTATTCTGAAAGTAATGAGAGACTATTGGAGGGCTTTGAGTAGGAGAATCACACTTACTTTTTGTTTTTTAAAGATCATTTTGGCTACTGTGCAGGCTTGTCTGTATGAGAGGCTAGAGTGGAAGCCTGGGGACCAATAGTCCAGGCCTGAGATGATGGTGGCTTGGATGGCAGTGATGGAAGTGGTGAAAAGAGGCCAGGCTTGAGATATATTCTGAAGAGAGAACTGACTGGTCTGACTAATGCATTAGTTGGGAGGTAAGGAGGAAAGAGAGGCACCAAGAGTGGCACTGGGGTTTTGGTCTGAGCAACCAGGTGAATGGAATGGGGAAGGCTGGTAGAGGCTGAGCAGGTTTGGAGTGTGTGGGTGTGTGCAGGCAAACAGGAGTCTTCTTTGGGACATATTCAGTTTGAGATCGTTCCTGGCATTAATGAAGTTGGTTATACAAGTCTGGAGTTTGGGGAAAAGGTCAGGATGTAACCTCATCTCCAGTAACTCATCTTGCATTCTGTATACACACTAGCTAAATGAAACAGTCAACTGCTTGGCCTGTGGTTGCCACATCTGATGTTTTGTGGCTGGTGCCTTTTTTCGAGTCTTCACCTCTTTCTGGACCACCTTTTCAAGCTTTGTATCTCTGGGTGACTCTTTCTCTTTAAAACTAAGATAGGATGTTCCTTGAACACCAGGTTGAGTTGGAGGAGCCCCTCATTTGTGACTCTGCGGTTCTTAGCAGGTCACACAGGAGTTGCCTATTAGACTCTCTAGGGCAGGGTCTGCCTAACTTGTCTCTGCATCCCCGACACCTGGTGCTGAGCCTGCACAGGGTAAGCGCTCTACATCTGATGAAATGCAGGGAAGGAGCCCAGCCAGAAGGCTGTTGCCTGATGTAAGGGGAGGGCCACAGACTTGAACTACTACATGGAAAGGAGGGGATGGTTCCAAAACGTTACATTCTCTGTGGAAACTTCTCAAACTGCTTCCTGAGACCTAGCTGACCACTTCTCTTCAAGAGGGGTACCCCTCCAGCCTTCCTCCCCACAGCACTTCTCCGACTGCATTGTTTTAGGGGCGGGTGGAACCGCGCTGGGAAAGTAAACCCCCAGGCATTTCCTTCGGTTTTCCTTGCTGGCTGTATTCCTAGCGTTGTAGGACTGTAGCAATGCGCTGTCCCATTAGCAGTGGGTGTGGTAAACGGTAAACCGTAAACGGTAAACGGAAGGCAAACCCTCCCCTTACGAGAGGCCCTGGGCAGCGGTCTGGGCGCAGGGCCGCCGGCGGTGGACGCCCAGGGGCCGAGGGGCTGCTGAGCCAAGACCCCAGCGCTGTCTCGGAAGGCGGGCTCGCGGGCCCCCAGGCGGCGGCGACCAGGGAGCTGCCCTGGGCCCCGACTGCCCCGGCCGGACCCCGCCCTCCCCGCCTGACCGCCCCCCCCCCCGCCCCCTTAGTACTCCCCCGTT